TATGTATTTACCTAATTTTTATTTTAATCGTGCGTTTAAATCGAGCCCGAGAACCCGCGAGCGTCTAGCGAACCGAGAGCCAACCCAGCTTAGCCCGAGCCCGGTTTTTCTAAAATTCCGTGCGTGTGTGTGTGGCTTGGAGGTGAAGAAAAATAAACCATACATGATTTAAATAAAGGGAGATGGACCATCAGCTCACGTATCATCCCTCAGCAGATTTTGAGAAATCCCGCAGTCATCTTGTACCCTCTCTCTCGATCGTAATCGCCGGTCACCATCATCGCTCTCTGCCACCATCATCAAATCGTCCGGCAGGTCACCATCGTCCCTCATCGGCATCATCCTCTCGCATAATCCGGTCGCCACCATCGCCTCTGTTCGAGTGATACCAGACCACCGTGACCAAGTTCCGATCGCTGCTCCGCCATATCAAGCCTTCGAGCACCACCATCACAGCACCATCATCATCGGATCATCACCATCATAAATTGACCGTTGTGATCATCCTCAACCAGCGCAGGCCCCTTCTTCCGCGAACAACCATCGCCCTAAGCCACCCACAGCGAGCGACCACCATCTCCGGCGAGCTCCCTCCCTTCGTCGGGACCCGTCGAGTTCCGTCGAAGTGTCTATCGTGACTGTTGAGTCCCGTCGGATTCCGTCGGAGTGTTAAACGAAGCCGACGAGTTCAGGACGCCGAGCCGCCATTAACGTCGCCTTCATCCTCGCTGCACCTCCGTCCGTGTTCGAATAGCCCTGTCCGCGGCTAAAGGAGACCCTCGCGAAGCCGAGCTGCCACCGTACTTCTCCTTCAGTGCGTGTGTTCCGTCTTGAGTTCGAAAAAGCTGCCCTCATCGCCGACTCTCGTCGTTGACCTCTGCTCGTTGCCGCCATCAACCTCCTCCACCAACTGCTGCCTTGCTGCCCTCGCGTGAAGTCACTCATCGTCACGCGATCGTCTCCATAAACCACCAGCGAGCCGAGCGTGAGCCGTCGAGCCCCGTTGTGCACCCTCGACGACCTCCCTCGTTTCGTTTTTCAATCGATTCCCGAGAGCGGTACCTAGGCTCGAACCTCGTCTCGTTTAATTTCATGATTGTATTATTGTGATTGATTGCGTGTCAATGTGCTGATCGTGTGGATTACCGGTTGATTACGTGCCTTGGATATGTTATTGTGCCGTATATTGAATTTATATGTGTTTTGGATATCAAGGTGATTGCCGTCACTTTGGTTTATCGTCGAACTGAGTTTCGATTAGTAATATTCGTGGAATTCCTGGAGTTCTAAGTAATTGGAGTCGTCCTTGAGCTGTTAGTTCAAGTTTGGAGTCGTTTCGATGTATATACTGCGAGTTATGATTTTTACAAACCGAGCGTGCTGCTGAATCGTAATTAATTCATGATAAATCGTGTGATAGTCCGATTGCTGTGAAATTTTTTATGTGATCTGCTGTGATAATTTTGTAAGTCGTGTAAAATTTTCAAGTCGAAAGTCCATCTGTAACTATTTTAATTATATAAATCGGTTTCTGGTCAGAATCTTGTAAAATTCATTAAAAATCGTACACTTGGAGTTTTGAGCTGAAAATTTGAGGAGTATGTTATTTTGTGGTATTCTGTTTTGTGTCAAAATTTTGGATTAAAATTCGAAGTGTAGCTATATGAACTATTAAACGTCGGATTTTTGTACTGTTTTGCTTTAAATATTTAAAAATTCTCCCGAATGAATTTTGAGCTGAAACTTGGTGAGGGTATGTGTTTTTGTATGCTTTGATATGTGGTAAAGTTTCAGGTTGAGTGGTGGAGTCTAACTCTAGATTCTGAATTTTATTTATTTTGGTGTCTTAATGCTCGGTTGTCCATTGTTTAGGTTCGGGTTGGATTATTTGATGTTGGCATGATTTATGTGTATTATCTGAGGTATCTGAGTTGTGTTCAGGTTTAGTAGTCACTCCAAAGTACTTAACTCGGTCAAGGAATCCACGAGTCACATAGTCGATATGGTTTCGGCTAAGTACGTGTTGCTTGTGTGTTGTTTTGTGCTGAATAGTCTGTTGATAGGATTATCATAATTGGTGTAGGTTCATCGAGCTGAACTTTTGCCGTTATTTCTTCAACTACTTGTGTTGGCTGCATTCCGGTATCCAGGTGGGTTTTAATCTAAAATTTGCTATGTTATAATTGAGGTAAGATTTTTATACTTTATGTCTATGAATGTATGTGTGAGTCATGAGACGGTGCCTAGTGGTGGGAGATCTCAAACCTTGTGGTGGGTTGACTCATTTTAGCCTAGTTGATGGGCCGTGACCATTGTTTTTACACTTCGGCACGACTGTACTCCCGCTGACGAGTTTGGGCTTACCCCTGGCGGCTTTTGATAGGTGTGCACATGAGTATAGTGATGAGTAGGAGAGTGGTGTATTATGTCTTTTGGCCATGTACTTGCATATGACTCTAGTATAGGTTTCTTTCCAATATGTTATGCATAGTGGTGAGCACCTTGTTATTATTTGTGCTCATCCCCACCTGCTCTTCATTGATGCAGGTTAAGCAAGTGTTGGGCATGACGAGCTGAAGACGAGTGGGTGGTCAAACATTGTTATTGCTTTATATTGCTTCTGCTTACTTTGATAATTATGTTGAGATTATCAGACTTCGTCATTTTCCCTATTGCATTTGGGATTGGTTAAACTGTTGAACCATGTGGATTACTTTTATCAACTTGAATTATGTTTAATATTCTCGTTTCCTTTATGCTGATTATGTGTTTAACTTTGAAATGTTCTCGAGGAGCGCCAATGTTTTATAAAATCGATAAATGGTTTTTTTTCGAAATTTTAAAACGAGATTTTTGGATAAATCTGGAATTGTCTTTAAAATTTTTTTGGGGCGTTACACTCAGCATATGCACCTTCCGGTCCAAGATGGCTGTCGTACCTCCTCGTAGGTAAGGTCTCGCTCAACCTACAGCTTGCCGTATTCCACCACATGATTAGGATTATGCACATATCTCCGAAGCATCGAGACATGAAACACATTGTGCACTCCCGACAAGTCCGGTGGTAAAGCCAGCCGATAAGCCAAGTTCCTGACTCGATCGAGGATCTCAAACAACCCGATATAGCGAGGTCTAAGCTTCCTCTTCTTCCCGAAGCGAATCACACCTCTTATGGGTGAAACCTTCAAGAAGAGATGATCTCCCACTGCATAAACATGCTTTTGCCTCTTCCGGTCAGTATAGACCTTTTGCCTCTCCTGGGCAGACCTGATAGTCCTCCAGATTTCCTCAACTGTCGCTACAGTACACTGGACAAAATCTAGACCCGTAATCCTCCTCTCTTCAACCTCATCCCAATACAAAGGAGTCCGGACCTTACATCCGTACAAAGCGTCGTACGGGGCCATCTTGATCGAAGAGTGGTAGCTGCTGTTGTAGGTCAGCTCGACTAGCGGAAGGGCATACTCCCAAGTCAGGCTCCGGTCCAAGACCACAGCCCTCAATATATCCTCCAAGTACTGGATCGTACGCTCCGACTGACCATCTGTCTCGGGGTGAAAGGCTGTACTAAACTCCAACCTCGTCCCCATGGCTCGGTGCAACGTCCTCCAGAACTGACATGTGACTTGGGATCTCGATCAGAATAATCTCCACGGGCACTCCATGAAGCTTAACAATGTCTTTGACGAACAATTTGGCGTAATCACTCGCTTTCATGGTCGTCTGGACTGGCAGAAAATGGGAAGACTTCGTAAGGCGGTCCACTATCACCCAAATTGAATCATGCCTGGCCCTCGACCTCGGCAGTCCCACCAAGAAATCCATGGTGATGCACTCCCACTTCCACAGGGGAACCTCAAGGGGCTGCAACAATCCTCTAAGTTTTTGGTGCTCAGCCTTCACTTGCTGACACACCAGGCACCCATCCACAAACTTTGCTACCTTCCTCTTTATGCCTCGCCACCAGAAAGACTTCCTTAAGTCCTGATACATCTTCGTGCTACCAGGATGGATGGTGTACGAGGCACTTGGGTCTCCCTCAAAATCTCCTTTCGCAGTTCCCACACCATTGGGACACAAAGTCTACCCTCGAAGACCAAGGCCCTATCAGATGTGACTGCCAATCCACTAATTCTACCGGCTTCCGACAGCTCTCTCATCCGGCACAGAAAATGGTCATTCGGCTGCTGGGCGACTATCTTCTCCCGAAGGGTCGGTCCCACAACCAAGGCGGTCAACATACCCCCGGCTGCTGAAGGCGACTCCACTGCCTCTAGCTGTAGTCGCTCGAACTCCCGAAGAAGAACATCTTGCTCGGTGAATAAGCAAGATAGTTGGCCATAAATCCTCCGACTAAGGGCATCGACTACCACATTTTCTTTCCCAAGATTGTAGCTAATGGTGCAGTCATAATCCTTGACCAGCTCCAACCACCTACGCTGCCGCATGTTCAGCTCGTTCTGAGTGAAAATGTACTTTAGGCTCTTGCGGTCGGTAAAGATCTCACACTTTCCTCCATAGAGGCAGTGCTGCCAAATCATTAAGGCATGAACGACAGCAGCTAACTCGAGATCATGAGTGGGGTAGTTCTGCTCGTGAGGCTTCAGCTGACTCGAAGCATAGGCTACGACTTTCCCCTGTTGCATGACGACACATCCCAAACCCATCTTCGAAGCATCACTATAGATGGTGAACTCCAAAGTAGGGTCGGGTATGGATAGGACAGGCGCGGTAGTGAGTCTCCTCTTCAACTCCTGGAAACTCTCTTCACACTTAGGACTCCAATAGAACCTCACGGCCTTCTTCGTAAGGTTGGTCAGTGGTTGGGCTATCTTCGAGAAGCCCTCGATAAACCTCCTGTAGTATCCTGCTAACCCCAGGAAACTACGAACATCTGCGGCACTTCATGGCGTATCCCACTTGCTCACTACCTCAATCTTGCTGGGATCCACCTCAATGCATCAAGCTGTCACGATGTGGCCAAGGAATGCCACACGGTTTAGCCAGAATTCGCACTTCGAGAACTTAGCATACAACTTCTCGTGGCGAAGAGTCTCCATCACAATCCTCAAATGCTCCTTGTGCTGATCGATATCTCAGGAATAGACCAGAATGTCGTCGATGAATACAATGACGAACTGGTCCAGGAAAGGATGAAAGACCCTATTCATAAGGTCCATGAAAACGGCCGGTCCATTGCTGAGTCCGAATGACATTACCACAAACTCATAGTGGCCATAGCAAGTACGGAATGCAGTCTTGGAAATATCTGACTCCCGGATCTTCAGCTGATGATAGCCAGAACGTAAATCAATCTTTGAGAAGACGCTGGCTCCTCTCAGCTGGTCGAAAAGGTCCTCAATACGAGGAATGGGGTACTTGTTCTTGACTGTAAGGGCATTCAACTCCCGGTAGTCAATGCACATGCGCATAGATCCATCTTTATTCTTCACGAATAGGACGGGCGCACCCCACGGCGAGACACACGGACGAATAAAACTGAGCTTAAGCAACTCCTGGATCTGGGCCTTGAGCTCTTGAAGCTCCTTCGGCGCCATACGATAAGGGGCCTTAGAAACGGGGCCGGCTCCGGGAATTAGGTCAATGGTGTACTCCACCTGGCGGTCTAGCGGTCCTCCGGGTAGGTCATCAGAAAAGACGTCGAGGTACTCGCAAACAATAGATACTCTCTCGGGCACCCGCTCATCAACATCGTCGGATACCATGGAAACAAGATAGCCTTGACAGCTACCCTTGGAAAGGCTCTTCCTAGCTTGCATAGAAGAGATGACCCGAGGCACAGTTCTCGAACTTACCCCAAAGAACACAACAGGCTGATCGGAAACGGGATAGAGGGTGACTTCACGCTCCTGGCAACAGATATCGGCTCGGAACGGGTGAGCCAGTCCATGCCCAAGATCACGTCAAAGTCTCGCATATCAATTACATAAACGTCGGCCTCCAGAACTGGACCACCAATACAGAGAGGAAGATTGCGAACAACTGAATCAAAGATAATAAATTTTTCCCGAGGCTAGACTAACCTCGAGAGGATCACAGGCATGCACCGTGCTAATAGACATGGCCTCCAAGCGACAAGATGAAATAAAGGAATGGGTAGCACCGGTATCACATAATGCAAAGACAGGCACGTTGGAGATAGAAAGCATTACGGACATAGTACCTGTGTTGCGAGCGGTCTCATC